TAACTCATGTAACTTGTAGTTGTTGGGTAATGCATGTAACCACCACAACACTAAATAAGATATCTAACAATTATTTACCCATTGATGAGATGTGGAGGTTTGTTGTTACAGCCATCACTTGATGGCGCACATCGAGCACTCCGAGGAGTGTTAGTCATCTAGCCATCATTGATGAGTGTGGGACATTCAACGATCATCTAGCCATTGCTGAGATGAAGGTTTGTAACAACAATCATCAAACGCTTGATGGCACACATCTAGCAATCGAGGAGTGTCGGTCATCTAGCCATCGTCAATGAGTGTGGGACATCCAACGATCACCTATAGCCATTGATGAAGAGATGGAGGCTTGTAAACTTCTTGTTTCATGTAACTCATGTAACTTGTAGATGCTGGGTAATGTATGTAACCACCACAACACTAAATAAGATATCCAACCATCATCTAACCATTGATGAGATGTGGAGGCTTGTAACAACAGCCATCACTTGATGGTGCACATCTAGCGCCCTGATCAGTGTCGATCATCTAGCCATCATCCATGAGTGTGGGATATCCAACGATCATCTGGCCATTGATGAGATTGAGGCTTGTAACAACAACCATCAAGTACTTGATGGCACACATCTAGCACTCGATGAGTGTCGGTCATCTACCCATCGACGATGAGTGTGGGACATCCAACGATTATCTATGGTCATTGATGATGAGATGGAGGATCTTAAACTTCTTGTTTGGGTGCATGTAACTCATGTAACTTGTAGCTGTTAGGTAATGCATGTAACCACCACAACACTAAATAAGAGATCCAACGATCATTTAGCCATTGATGAGATGGAGGCTTATAACAACAGCCATCGCTTGATGGCGCACATCTAGCACTCTAATGAGTGTCGGTCATCTAGCCATCGTCGATGAGTGCGGGATATCAAATGATCATCCAGCCATTGATGAGATGGAGGCTTGTAAACTTGCATTGATGAGTGTGGAACATCCAACGATCATCTAGCCATTTATGAGATGGAGGCTGTAAACTTGTAGTTGTTTGGGTGCATGTAACTCATGTAACTTGTAGTTGTTGGGTAATGCA